ATAACAGTATACAGAAACAGAGTTCAGTTATGTTTTATATATTCATGGAAAAGTGAATAATGGACCAGATCCTCAGATGGTTAATTCAGTTTTGTTCTATTAACGTCAAAGCAGCTAGGCCAATTTATATCAGCTGAGTACGTGGCCTACTTAACATGAGGCAAATCTGATACAAAATGAATACAAATTAGCACATAGATGTAAAGATATCAAAATAATCATCAGTGATCAGTACTGTCTCAGTTTAATAGTAATATAGGAACAAAAATCATTTCTCATAGGCAAATATCTTGATTCAGAGGTTGAAATCCCTAATATCCCCTCACTCCCTGAATATCAGTAATACAGTATCATGTGATGTGTTAATATTTTATAATATATATTTCTAGGATGGTTTGTTTAATATCAATAATTTTAATGTTACACTCTCTTCGGTGTGAAGTTGGATATTTTTCTGCACTTATCTGTTTCCATGGTGTTTATTTTTTAAACCAGAATTTGATATACTTTTATTTTTAAATTATTTATTATTCTATTCCTATGTTTTGTCATTTTAAAGAATTCATATTTTAATTATTTCACAAGGTTACTAAAAATAAAATGAGAAAAACCCTTAATATACAGTTAAAATGATAGATTAGCAGAAGCAGCACATACTTCACTAGCAATATCTCTTGATGCCTTTGCACTTCGAATTGGAATTGAATCAGCTCTTATATCATAATCCGTCATCTTGGATTCTTCCCAACCTTGTGTGTAAAGTTTCTACAGGGAGGAAAACAAAATATGTGAAATGAAAATACAGTATTATACAAATTGTTTATTATAGAGAAAATGAAACTATACATTAAAAGAAGTTCTTTAAAAGTGAAATGAATGCTTACCTAATTTCTGATTTTGTATTTGTTTGATATGTTTTTTAAAATAGTCTTACCTGGCTAACGTTAGCTGAATTGGCTTTTGCCAACAAAATCTCCGGAGTGTCTGGCATGACATGAATTGTGGTTTTGTCAGCATTCCAGGCTTCTGTGTATAAACGCTGTGGAAGGGTGGGAAACAATTTTTTTAAAGTTTTCAATGAAATGTTTAAATAAACACAGTTTTTGCAAGTGGAAGGATTTCATACTTTAAATCTACAGTGTTTTCAAAGAAAAACTAAATTGGGCTTATAGGTGAATTTCAACCAAAGTGCATTGCCCATTCCATGAACCAACCCTCGTAGTCAGTAACACCTGTGAATTTTTCTGAGAGACTCACCTTGTTCATTGTCTCAGCATTTTGCTTTGCCAAAACCAACTCCAGGGAATCGGTCACACTGGTAAATTTGATTTGGTCTGGGGGCTGGCGGTACTGCTTTTCACTCAGGATTTCTCCAGCTCTCTTAACCTTCTCAACATCCATGGAACCAATGGGGACCCAGCCTGTACCCTTCAGCCATTCCAGGTCCGATTTGTAAACAGCCTAAAATTTAATTAATGTTCAGTCAGTCATTTGTAGGAACAATCAAATGAATATATGAATAAATGCAATTGATGTATACACCACTCACTTCATGTAACATTATCTATTACTACAAAATGGTCATTTGATTCTGACACTCATTCTTCCAAGATAGATAAAATAATTATTACACAGCACAATGAATGGGAAAATGGAAGGACTCCACAGACACATTATTAGGGCACCTCTGACAGATCAAAGATCAAGGAAACAGCAAGGATTTGGTGACAAAGGATCGGTAACAGGATATGGAACATTTCACAAGCCAGTAAGGGCAGAAGAAGCCAAAGCAGGGACTACTGCACTGGGGAAGAAGGGGAAAAATGGTGCCCAGCTGGGGCCACCCTTCTTCTGGACCCAGAACTGCACAGGGGAGACACCCCTCCATTCTGAGGGCACTAGGACCCAGATGGTGCCTACCTCAACTCCCCCTTCACTCCCCACATCAGGAAGTTACAGAGAGGAGACAGCCAGAGATTCCAGCTGG